TAATATGCATATGTTTATACAGAAAGCCCTCTTCTTCAATATCAGTAGAATTTCCTCATTGAAGCCATGATTAATCAAGTGACATGAACTTATTTCTATTTGAACATATACCATACATTTAAAATCTTTATTTGCTTTGAATTCTTGAATTCTCTCTGAATGTGTAGTGCTTGTATGAAAAACAGATAAGGGTTAAAGCTCTATGTTGCATAGCATTAGATAAGTTAATAAATCCATCACCCAACCATTGCTGGATATATTATTAAAGACAGATGTTTCTGCAGAGCCAAGAAGATTTACCAGAATAATTAATTTTAAGTTTATGTGAAAACATACTGCAGTTTTGGAATGGGTCAATTGGCATCAAATCTGGGTAAATGGTGCCTTGTCTTAGAATCACCCGACACTTTTATGGCAGAGTCACAATCTCTTTTAGTGTGGGGAGTTTCTTCTGTCTGAAATGTATTCCAAACTCCAACTTTAAATGCAAAATTTACAGCAGAATAATTTATTTCTTTATTCCAGTTTCCCAAGCACTGTATCAACAATTTAAGGTGCAAAGAATGGAACAGTTAAGTTCCTAAACCATCAATTTATTTCTAATTTTCTTAGAAATAGTTTGATTATTTTTTAGGTACATCTGACTGGCTTCTCCCCTCAGATTGGCAGCTTGATGTTAGCTAAGTAAAAACATGTGGGAGAAAAAAATGGAACTTTAGCTTATACGTGAGGGAGGGTCAAGTGATAGGCAAAGAAATCCATGTAATTCAGTGAACACTAAATATAGTCAGCAAAACACCCCCCACCCCCGACATTTCTTAGACAGATATATCAAGGCACTTTCCTCCTAGAATTGGGTGGGGAAAAAAACTTTCCACAGCAAGATACAGTATTTGGGATCTCTGTGGGAGGCAGTGAAGGACAGGAAGGCCTGGCGCAATATGGTTCATGGGGTCACGAAGAGTCGGACACGACTTAACGACTAAACAAGTGGAGGACATGATTATGGAAAACCTAGAGCTGATTTACAGCTCTGGTAATCCACCGAAAGGGGACATATACCCATCGCTGTACAATGTTACCACTGTAGCAAAGGAGAGAGAAAGGTTAGAATGATACTTTTGGTCTCAAAGGAAAACTAATACATTTTTGGGAAATAGCATTTAGCAGAGGAAAGGCATATTGGTTTGTGGCCTTGTCATTTAAAGCTAGACTGGATTATAAGAGAATTCCTATAGGGAACAAGCCAACACTAAGTTTAGTTAAGTCACTTCATTCTCTTAGAAACACAATTGATATACTTTGACCTACGGTACTCTGATCTACATATATATTCTTGGCCTGCATTTCTGTGACACCTTTTGTACTGATACCAACATTCAAAGACACTCATCTGGATAGGGCTGAGCCCTCACTTAAGCCCTGCTTAAGGAAATGAATAGCCCTGGAGGACAATTTTTATGGTTTCCATGAACTTCAGGAAACACAGCCTCTTAATACAGGTGGTCCCCAAGAACGAGTTCTGTTCCCAAGGTCTGTCTTTAAGCCAGATTTGTATGTAAGCTGGAACAGTATTACTGTATAATACTATATAAGTAGTATGTGTAATGAATTTGAACCATTATGTATTTAACTCGAATCACTGTGTACTTAACTTGAATTTTGCTATGTTAGTCTCTGTTCTTAACTATGGGTCGTCCTTAAACTGGGCGTTGTTAACCCGGAGACTACCTGTACTAAATTACAAAACAAGAGGTAGATAGTAATAATTCTGCATAGTGATGGATATATGTCCCCTTTCGGTGGATTACCAGAGCTGTAAATCAGCTCTAAGTTTGCCATAATAATGCTCTCCACAGAGATCCCAAATACTATATCTTGCTGTGAAAAGTTTTTTTCTTCTGCCTAATTCTAGGAGGAAAGTGCCTTGATATATCTGTCTTAGAAATGTGTGTTTTTTGTTTTTGTTTTTGCTGACTATATTTAGTGTTCCTACGTCAAGTTGTAGTTCTGTAACATCCCTTTTACAGATGCATTCACATTTTACCAGTTTTCAACCATAGGATTAGTCTTTGCATTTGAACTGGAACATGTACTCTATAACTGCCATCTTTTTTCCCTTTTCAGCTGTTTTTAGTGCTTTTCAAGCCAGTCTACATATACCAATTTAAATACACATAAAACAGTATCTCTGTCTAAAATTTAAATGTACACAAAGCAACATCTTAGTGTAATGTATTTATTTATACTAAATTTGATATTAGCCAAAAGGTTGAAAAACTCAAACTCAGACCTGTTTCTTAAGATGCTTAAGAAGGAAAACTCTAGTCTCTGCAGTTAGAGCTGAGGCAGGCATCTATCCTGTACAAAGTTATTCTATGATCAAATTTTTAATTATTTTGGAGGATTTTTTAATGGATCTTGACAGATTACCCAAAATGTGTCCAAAGAAACAGATTAGTATGACACATACCACCACTCGGGTTTAACTACTTATCAAAGTTATCTTGCAGTATGGCTTATGAGTTCAATATCTAACTTAAGTTAAATATCAGGACAAGAAAATGTTTAAACAGAGGATTTTGCCTGAAGTGCCTGAACCAATATTAATTCACTTGCAAATATTAATCCCTTAAAATACTTGGCAAAGAATAAAAAGGTATTTCAAATAGAAAAATACCTATGTATATGGCACAGTACCAAGGAACACTTTTTACTAGAGTGAGATTTGATTTATTTGATTCTATGGTGAAACCTGGGAGATTATATTGAGCACCATAGTATGAAAGAAAATGTATATGTGTGTTAAGTGTGTTAACTGTGTATGCCCTCCAGAGTCACATGCAAATGAGATGGGCAGCCCTATACAGTGAGTGAGTGAGTGAGTGAGTGAGTGAGTGAGTGAGTGAGTGAATGAATGAATGAATGAATGAATGAATGAATGAAGCCAGCCTCAGGCAGAAAATATTGTACATGTTCTATTTGACTGCAAATTTTATGCTTCAGTAAGAGTGAAGTACTGCTACTTGACAGGATGGCCTATTGGATGGATGGATCCAGGATGGATACTAGCAATAGATTGCCTTATTTTCTCCAGGGTGTAAACTTGTGTGTTACTTGTAGGACCAAGTTTATAGTTAAGGCTATTCAACTGAGAACTCATTTTATAAAAGAGATTAGGTAGTATGCAAAGGTGATTATTTTATTTGAATGTACTTCATTTTATATCTTTGTATCTTTGCACTTTACCTTTTGATATTGTTTTGTATTTTGATACAGTTGATTGACTAATAAATAAAAGTGAATGTTTATAAGTGCAAATGTAATATTTGTGCATTGGCATGGGACTTGGGGCTAACAAAGTAATTTACTAAGGGAATGAATATACTGAGAAATATTTTTGAGCTTAACTTGCTGCTCAGTGTAACAAATTCAGGGTAACAGGATACATATGACAGGCTTAGATTTATTGCTTCCTTGAGTCTCTCATTGAACATTTGGAATTATGTATTGTTGTTTGGTCATTGGATAGCTTTGTGCAGAGTTCCACATAACACATTATTAAGGAATTCTGGAAGTTTAAAACATGAAAAACATAATGCAGAAGCCAAAATACCTTCACATGTAAACAAATCTTCCCTTAATTTTCAGCCCCGTTAATCTAATATAAAAACTTACCTGTAGTAAAAATACTGGAGTAATATAAATATGAGTGTCTCCTAATATACCTTTCATCATATTCTAACATCAATATGCACAGTGTATCAAATAAATTATTTCCCATTTTATCTTGTTGAAAATACATATCCTTTGAATGTTTGAAAATCAGATGTAAACATTCAAATATATTTTTTCTTCAATCTCAGATTAATGTGAATGCCTAAAAAATCCACAGATAATAACCACTACATTTTGGCCATCCTCAGTATTCACCACTATCCAAAAGGGGAAAAATAGTTAAATTTGCTATTTTTAGACATTTACAAAATTTATCTGGGGGATCTGATTCTCATGTGTGAAAAATGTTGTTGACCAGACTTAGTACACTTACTTACCCTTACTTTTTATTTTACAGCTGGTTTATATAGAGTTATCTGAGCAATGCTGTTCTGAACACTTTTCAAAGGGAATACATCTGATAAAGGAAGTTATATCCTGTGAATTTCAAGCTACATATGGTTGTTTTAATTTATGCTGTCATAGGTCTGCCATACCATATTGAAATGTGGTGTAATAGATTTATCTTCTGAAACTGCTTCTCAAGATTTCTCAATTTTGGCTTTTAAACCTCAACAGGCAGAAGAGGTTTTTGGATCAACATTACTAGTCTAACAGCTTGATGCATCAGTAGATTCTCTTCTTTCTGCTCAGATTTTTGCCTTTTGGCTCTTGGTGATTTGTATGTGTTTAGCAGATACTGCTTCAGAAAATACTTTTTCCACTGGCTTGCAAAGTGTTCTGCATTTCTTCCAGATAAAATCATTTTCTGTTTTTTTCCTCCCTCAACCCCCATTCTTCCCCTCTGGTTATTTCTACATGGAACTGTTTTAGGTGAGAGGCAACCCAGAACCTCAGATCACATGGTACAGAAATGACCACCTTGTTACAGGAGAGCGTTGTGTAGCAGACTGCAGCATCCGGGGAGTTTTCAGCTTGACGATTAAAGGGGTGCAGGAGGAAGATGGTGGTCTGTATATGTGTCAGGCCAGAAATGCTGGTGGGATTCGCCAGGTGACTGTGGAATTAACAGTGGAAGGTAAGAATGTTAGCAGTCTAGCACATGTTCCATTCTGGAAGCTAAATTTTCTATACCATGGCCTTTGCTCCACCACGGCCTTGTTTAATTTTCCTGATTGCAAAAGCAGATGTGGAAAGTTGAGGACAGAATGCCAGCTGGCTGCCATTTTTATGCCCCGGCTAACTCAGTGGGAGGAAAGAACCCAGCAGTTGAAGATACACAAGTTGTAATGTGAACCTGCTACAGAGAGTTTGAGGGGCAAGGCCATCAGTTACGTGGAAACACCCTGAGGATGATTCTGTGCCTGTTGCCATTTGTTTTTCTACATTATAGTAATAATGACCCCACCAATATAGATCAGGAACAATAGACCTATGATTTCAGAAAACGACTATCCCTCATAATTGGCTGTGTAACTTGGGCTTCTGGGAGCTGTAGATCTTCAATATCTGAAGAGCTACAGGTTTCCTCATCCTAATCTAGATACAACACTTTTGAACCTGTTGCCCTCAGGAGCTTGGGTGGCTTTGAAAGGAAACTGGATAAATTCATGGAGGACAAGTCTGCTGAAGACCATCTATCCTGAATACTCAATATTCCCTCCAAGATTGGGAGAAGCATGCCTCCAAATACCAGTTGTCCAAAAAGGCAGTTGTCGGTATCTCTGCTTGCGAGCACCCCAGAAGCGAGCACCCCAGAAGCGAGCACCCCAGAAGCGAGCACCCCAGAAGCGAGCACCCCAGAAGCGAGCACCCCAGAAGCGAGCACCCCAGAAGCGAGCACCCCAGAAGCGAGCACCCCAGAAGCGAGCACCCCAGAAGCACCCCAGAACAAAATACTGGGTCAAGGTGTGCCTTGACTTGATCCAGCAGGGCTATTCTTATACAGAATTCACACCTGTAGGATACCAAATGGGAAGACTGCTTTCATGTTTCAAAGCAGTTTAATCTAGGTCATATATAACAATTCCTTTTAAGGATAGAACATTGCTATCCTCCTACTGCTTGCCTAAACATCTCTAGAAGAAGCCCATGATATTGGAAGGATTTGATCTGAGGACATTTTGGTTAAAATCTTTGGCTTAGCCACCATGATTTTTATTTTTCTGTTGAAATAAGAATAAATTATTATTTCCGGAAATTTACATCGCATTTTATTAACGTTTTTCTATCTCTTATGCTGCCTCCCATATTTTGCAGAAGCCAGCTGTATTTGCCATTCATTTAAATTTATAAACACATTTGCTCATATCCAGTAGATGGTGCTGCAGTCTCACGGGATAATACCTTGCATCCTGACCATCTGACTTGAAACAGCTATGTAAAATGTAAAGCAAGGTTTTGGTCATGATGTTTCAGCATAGGAATGTGTTGTAGAAATATCTTAAATATATTGAGGAAAAGATAATAGATACAGGCAGGTGAGCCAAACATGGCTTCAGGCTAGACACTTGGAAGTAAATAAAAACTTCCTACTGCAAGTCTGTGGGCAGTTTTTGAAATGGCAAAAATGATTAAGCATTTCTATTTGTATGTGTGGACAAGTGAGGTACAACCACGTTTTCAATAGAAGTTTCTCATTTGGGGGTATAGGACTCTAGTTTGGAGTGCTCCTCAAAGCACTCCACAGCAAACAGCTGATTCCATGCACTGCAATTGCTCCACCTCTGTTGTGAGGTGCAAGTGAGCAAAGCTTGAATATGTGTGTTTTTCAGGTAATGGGCCAATGGAGAAGCAAATAATGTCTTTTCTGATAATATTTTTTAAATCATAGGCAAATATTTTATTGCAATATATAGAGACAGAGAAATCCATGAATTCCAATAAGATTCCAATGATTTGAAGTCCTGATAAAATATTTTTATGTCTGACCATCTTTCTGTTTTCTTTTAGGAAAAGTTTTGAAGAAATACAATTTGCCGTCCGGTGTCAAAAGTTCTGGGTAAGAGTTTGAGTGGCATTTATATACTTAGAGCAGATATCTATCATGTAACATGCCCAGCTTTTGAAATATCTGAAAAAGGCAAGCTTTTCTGTTTGACTTCAATAGTAATAATTCAGCTGTGTTCAAAACATTTCTTGAAACCATGTATTTATGACAATGTCAATATATTTTCCTGTCTGGTTTACCTAGTGGAATTGATATTAGTCTTGCAAATCTGATTGTGTTGTACATCTTCCCCTTCTTATACTCTAGTGAATTAGGGAGGCCTTTGCCTGAACCACTTCCAAGTGTTATCTTGTTTTTCTGGGCTTAAAAATGTTTTGGCCCCTTTTGCCTAGGTAACAGTTCTTGTATATTTCTGTCAAGGTCATCTTGCTTGCTCTCTACATTATTCAGTACTGTTAAGGTGTCTAAGCCATTTGGTGTCTTTTGTGCTTACTCTGTTCAGCTGACAAAACTTTGAACGAAACTGACAGTACAAGAAATATGTCATCCTTTCACCAGTTTGTTAATTTCTTTTAAACTTTGTTATTAGATCTAGTCAGGATATCTCTATTGGTGCCAATAGAAACTTGCTTTCTGGGGTTATTATTAGCTGTTTCTACACCCCACGTTCCAGATTTTTGTCTGATCCTGATTCAGATTCAGGGAGCTGAATTGCTTTTTTTTCCCCCCATGAGGATTAATTTCATGTATTTTCTAGTTTGACTCTTAACTCTTAACTATTTCACTGGGAAGTACAGATTATATTATCAACCTGCTGTTTCTTTTTTAAAGAAAGAAATAGAGACAAGTCAAGTGAGGCCCAACTTTTATAATTCCTTTGCCCTTTAATATTTTTAGCTATTGGTTTAACACTTCATTATTACCTTACTTTAATCAACATTATTAAGTTTCCCCATATTACAGTCTTTATAATATGGTGCTTGCTTCTTGGGCTGGGATCACATGTGGTTTCTTTTAGTATTCTGATACATTGCAGAAGATGAGCACAACTGGTTTGCTTATGGGTAAGCTTTCTGTGCAGTACACATGACCATGACTCCAAAGTTTGCTTGAAACTCACAGCTTCATTTTCATCACTGTTGACGATTCACTACTAATACGTGTGGTTGTGATGTTTGCCATTAAAGTGAGCCAGACTTCCCTTAATCTTAACCCTAATGTGCCATGCTTGACATTTTTTGGATTTCAGCAAACAATATGTTGGCTGGGGCATTTATGAAAATCAAAGTCCACCAGAGCTGGAGGGGAACCAGGCTGAATAGGTATTGCTTAGTGTAAATTGCATGTTCTAGTGCTGTCCCTTATTTCATGGCTCTTTATCATGGTTTTAAGTGATGAACTCACTGAACTCTGTTGAACTGGTATTGGTTATTTGGCCTTTGAATTTCTGAAATATAAGCAGAGCTTGGTTAACATTGCAAAAATGTATAATATAATTAATTTAATTCTTCATCTTAACATAGCAGCATATAGCAAAGACTACTTTCTGGTCTTCTTTAGAAATGCCTTGTTCTGGAATATTTATGGAAATATGCTAATAATTATCTTTAAATTTTGGAAAAAAGATTAAAAACTAACTTTGTTGCCCAGCTGCTCATTCTCAAAGCACAGGATTTTTACAGGCTTCTTGAGATTACTTTTTTAAAATAACTTTTAGTTCTTAAATTTTAAAGGGAGTGCTCATAAGATAGTTAATATATCAGTTGATTAGAACATCATAAACAGCAGGGGTTTTGTCCCCACCTTCCCTAATATGCCAGGAATTATTTTAAAAAGTAGCCAAGTCAAATAGTGACAGGCTTACAGCATGTACCTAAAACAAAATACATTCTGTTTATCTCTCCCATACAACATGCTTATTAATCCTGTCATCTTTACAATTTTGAAACCAGTCAGAAGTGGTAGAACCTGAGTATCAAAAAGTATTAACTGTTTAGTATTTATTTAAAATGAATGGTTGTCTTATGATTTTGCAAAACAGATTCTGAATTTTCTGTAGAAGTTTGTTGTTTCCGGGCCCCATGGTTAACTGCGTAATTAGTGTTTTTAGATGAATTGCCAGAAATCATATGTGGTAAATAATTCCAGTTCTCACAAACTGAGATGCATCAGAGTCTGCTGCATAGAGTCATATGAGTTCATTTAGTTGTGGGGAGAATATTCTGTGACAGTCAAAGCCAAGTGTGGGATATCATCAATAGAGGGGCTTTCCTTTTTTATCACAATGGTGTCTTTCTATTAGTAGTTTTACAGGTAGAAAAAGGCTTCTGAACTAGGTAATCTTTTCCAAGCCCTTGGACTGGAAATATTACCTACATTTTATCTTGGGGGAGAAAATAACTCTGATACTTTTCATCTTAAACTAATGGCAGCTTTGAGCAACTTACCTGATTTAAGGTTGTACAAGATTGCATAGTTCTTCCAAAGGCTCACAACAGAAAATCATAGTTGAGTTGGACTCAGATGGTGGTGATTTTGGTATGAGAATGGGGCAACAATTCAGGGAAAAAAATGACCAAGAAGAAAGCTTATACTATTTGTTGCAGCTAGATCTGTCAAATAGCATGTTTTTGCATTTGTGTGTATATTGGATGAAGTCATTAGGTAAAATGGTATTTAATTGCAGGAGAAATGTAGAGTACAGAGAGAACCAGTTTGGTCTAATGGTTAAGGCACCAGGCTAGAATCCAGAAGATGGTGAGTTCTAGTACTGCCTTAGGAATGAAAGCTGGCTGGGTGACTTTGGGCCAGTCACCCTCTCTCAGTCCAGCTCACCTCATAGGGTTGTTGTTGTGGGGAAAATAAGAGGAGGAAGAAGTATTAGGTATGTTCGCCACCTTGAGTTATTTATAAAAATAATAAAGGCGGGATAAAAAGTCTAAAAAAAAAAGATCTTTCTTGTACATCTATTGAACTTGCACTCCCATGATGCACTCACCAACATTGTTTTATACACATAATTTTCTTTCTTCTTAATTATTTGGACCTTTCAGGGAGACAAAGTGTATGCTTGTTGTGCCAGGTCTAAATTTACCAGTTATTCAAAGGTTGGCATGTGTGCCTCCTAGTAATGCTGGGAAAAAAGCAAGCCTTTGCTTCCTAATACTTGAAGATACATGTTGCATTCCAAGACAATACATATATGGAATTCACTTCGTGAGTGGCACTATACTGCATATTGCCTGCAATACTCTGCAACTTATTAAGAAGCATGATTCAATAATAATGTTTGATGACTTGTCTTATTAGTCCCTGATAATATTATTTCATGTCCAGGGGTCGACCTGCTGTCCTACCTGTAGAACAACGGCCAAGCATCTGGGGCGAATGTCCACCCAAGTTTGCTACAAAACCCAACCGGGTCATTGTACGAGAAGGACAGACTGGTAAATTTTCCTGTAAGATAACAGGGCGACCTCAGCCTCAGGTCACCTGGTTCAAGGTATAATTGTTTGCGTGACTATTCAGTTTTTCTAAAGAGTTGTTTATGCATGTATACTGAGAGGATCTTCAACCATGGTTCATTTTTCCTTATGTCTGGTATTATATCTAGGAAAAAGTTTTCAGATTTCCCCATTTGCATCATTAATAAAATTGTGTTTTGGCCTATCTACATTTATTCTATTAGGGACATTGAAAGACAGACTTATATACAAAGTGTTCTAATTTTATTTTATTTTTAATTAATTTGTATTAAGTTTTTTGCAAAATAAAAACACAAATTTAAAGGAAAAAGAAAGTAAAAGAAAAGAAAAGTGGTTAGTAAATAGAAAAGAAATGAAAGAAAAAAGAAAGAGAAAAAGAAAAAGAAAGACACAAAGAAGTGGCTTCTGATCTTTTTTACAGCAGTTATAAATGCATTTATATTTTACCCTCTCTCTCTCTCTCTAAGGTTACATCATGGCTCCCTTCTTTCCATATTCTACCCTTTCTAATCATCAAACACATAAATCTCAAGTTCATTTTTTTCCCTGTTTTCAGCAAAAAGTCCATAAAGGGCTTCCAGTTACTAACAAATGTAGTTATTGTCTTTTCCCTAATCAAATACATCAATTTTGCCATCTCAAAGCATTCTAATGTTAGTGGTCTGTAATATTTGAATCTGAAGCAGGCAAGGATTAAAGGTTGAGTTAAGGAGGTGGCAAGATGCCTCCTTAACTCACTGCTGAATGAACCTAAGAAAAGGTATAGCTTTGTTAAGGACAATGTGACAGGTACCCTTTTCCACTGATTGACCAAACCTATAGCTATAGTGTGGGGAACATATTTAGGCCAAAATATATGGGATTGAGGGGAGGCCCAGAAAACTGAAAATATTGTTGGCGAACATGTGCTCAACAATTTGAGTGACATATGGGATATTTGTGGACAGATGGATGGGAACTTTACATCAGATTGGAGTGTTTGAGAAGACTTGTGATGATATAAAATGATCAGATAATTTCTCATCTCTGTGCAAAGTGAAGTTAAAATCCACATTAAAATTAACAAAATAGTTATCAGAATCATTTAACAGTGAAAATACTGGTGAAAGAAATGTGTCTCTACAGATTTTCTAAATGCTGAGAGAGTTGGGACCCAAATGCCACTCCCCTGGAAATGCACATCATAGTTTTGAAGCAATACAAACGAGGACTGGGCCAAAATTCTGTTGAAATGCATTCAGAAAATCATTGTAATTCAAATGTATGTGGAGCTGTGAGGTCGCCACTTTTTTGATTATCTTTCCCAGAAATAAAACCTTTGAAATTGTCCTATAATTGTACAAGTCTACTGGTTCAAATGAGGAGTAAAGATCCTATTACCTCCATGGGAACATATCCCTCCCATGATGAGGCATAGATCACTTAATGAGGCCAGTCCTGCACTGGCTTATTTAAGCAGATGGTAGCTCTGGTCTCTCCA